ATTCTGGGAGTTGAAGTCCACATATCTTAAAGTTGCCAAGGTTGAGAAACACTGCCTTAGACACTGAGCTTCTAAATTTGGCTAGTATTAATTTAGGAGGGTGGGGGTGGGGGATTTGCCTTAACATATGGCACAAAAATAGCCAGTTTGGTTAGTTTATGCTTTAAGGCAGTATTTGTTTTTTGTTCTCAGGACCCCTTCCTACTTTTAAAATTTATGGAGGACCCCAAAAGAAGGTTCGTTTGTATGGGTTTTATTTCTCAATGTTTACCATATTTAAAATTAAAATGGATGCATTCATAGACTATTTATTGAGTCATGTAAAAATAACAATATTAAACCCAATCGATATTAACATAACTTTTTTTCATTTGAAAAAACCCTATTTTTTAAAACAAATTTTAAAAAATCATGAGAAGAGTGGCATGGTTTTAAATTTTTGCAAATATCTTCAATATCTGGCAAATCATGTTGATTTCGTGGACCTCTAAGAGGATCTTGAGGGACTCCCAAGGCCCTCGGATCACACTTTAAGAAGGATTAGTTTAAGGCATTGGGCAAATCTAGAACATGGGTTACATCAATGCCAAGTTTGGTGTGTTGTGTTTTCAGGTCAACATCTGGAAGAATCAAATTAAATCAAGGTATATTGATTAGCCCTTAGGCCATATCAAAATTCAAAATTTCAAACACACAGTGTTAATAAAACCCAATATAATAACAAATTAGGTAAAATGGAAATAAAATGCAACAGTTAGGTATACAGATAAGTGAGAGTACAGATCATATTTCCGTGTCACCCCTACAATTTACTCCAATCAACCCCACGTATGCAGATCTCAACTGTATTGTTTTACTCAGATACTGAGCTGTATTATATGTTATTTTCAAGTTCTGACCACACAAGATAGGTTGTTTTAATATGTGGTTCCCGATGGATCATTCAGTTAATGTATGATCCAAGGTACATATCTCTCTCCTTCTTGTACAAATTACAATCAAATAATATATGTGCTAAGTCTTCTACCTCTGGTGCTCCAGAATCAATCACTAAGCTGAAGGTTTATTTAAGGAGAAAATAAGTTAGAGCTTACCGATGCTGTGTTTGCTTGAATCACCAGAAAATCCCGAATATATTTATATAATTTAAAAATTAATTTAAAGGGGAGGACATAAGAATACTCCCCCAAGTCACATCTCATGACGTCCCCCCTCCCTCTGTGAAAGTGGCTTTTTCCCTTCTCTTTCACCCAGATGGGATGTAGGAGTTCCAGGCTTCCATGGCCACCATCTTCTGTGCCAAAACCTCATTCTGAGTTAAAATGAAAACAGCAAAGCTGCTCTCAGTGTAAAAACGAGAAGAGAGTTTAGTGGGCCAAAGTTGAAAGCAGCGTAGGAGGGGGCCCGGTGTCTCTCACGCAATCTCTGGAGAGCTTTTAACATTGTTCCTTCTAGCAGAACTTTTGACAAGTTTACTTAATTTTTAATGGGGGGGGGGCAGGAACAGGAGCGACTTCTTTGAAGACTTTGAGCAGACCACGGTCTAGTCTCCCTAATGGAAAGTTGAAAGCTAGAAAGGGACTGGATGGACTCCAGGTTAACCCATACATAAAGGGACTCTAATCCTAGTATAATGCCGGCTCTTTTTTATTTTGCTTTCTTTTTTAAATTCAGGTTTCTGCCAAAGCTTACAATGTCCCTTTTTTTTCAGTTTTACAAGCCAAGAGCTGTGGTTGGTTTTCTCACGTAAAATCCCAGGCTCTTGTCATCTGCCAAAAGTGTAACTGAAAAGATTCATTATTTTGTCATTTAACGCCTTAAATAAATTTATCCGGAGATCTTACTGGGGTGCTGAGGATTGCAAATAGCAAGACAGGGTGGGTTCTTTCCCCCCCCTCTTTGTTTTATTATTAGTGGAAATAAAGAAGAATGCCTATATAAATGTGTGTTTTATATGCCTACACATAATCAATTAGCATTCATGGCCAGAGGGCTGGGTTGTTCCTTTCAGATGCTGTTCTCATTGCCTGAATAGAACTTCACTCAGAAGTGGAGAAAAATGGATTTAGTAGAGCAACTGAGAATGCTTTTGGCAATAAACTCATTTGGGGAATTCAGTCCCCTAATCTCCTTACAGCGCTTTTGGGAAAAGAAGGAGGAGCACCACTGCATAAAAGCTGACCCCAAGCTTCTTGGACAAAGATTGTTGTGATGGAGACGCCTTTCCTAGCAAACTCACTTTCCCCAAGTTAGAAAAATTGCTGGCTTCAGAAGCTGAGGGATATAAGCGTGCGTGTGTGTGTGTAAAAAAAAAAAAAAGTAGATAACAGCTGCAGCTACATAGCAGAAGTTGTTTCCCTTTGCAATGCGTGTAAAAAGGGTAGGGCTTCAGCACATGGTCGTGACTGCCATCTTGCTTTTTTTGATCCCCCTGCAGATGTCCCTGGAGAGACTGTAGAGAAAAAGGACTTCTGATGTTGGAGAAATTTTCTCTCCTCCATGCCTAGAATCCTCCCTCTGAACTTGAAGGAGGAGATCTGAAGCATCCTGGGACAACTTTCCAAGGGCCATAGCATTGTAGCCATAGCTACTTAGATGTTCAAAAGTGAGCATTTAATGAAGTCCAGCAACATCCTTGAAAAAAGAAATGTGGAGATGTGATCAGTCACTATATTTTTTTAGAAACACATGACATTGTTCTGTTGACTGCTTCCCAAAACAGTAGCTTTACACATTCATAAATGGGCATGAAAAATGTCTTCCCCAGTTTGCATGACTTAACATTTTCTGAAAAGCCAGTATATGTTTTATCCAGCAGTTCTTAGCTTCCTTCTACTCTCCCCCCTGTTTCTTTCTTTCTTTTGCAAAGTATCATCAACCTCACACCAGAAGATCCCAGGATCTCCTAATACTAATAATAATCTGAAGTTATTCTGATGTTGTAGGCAATTTCTGATTAATCTCTGGTATCATGAGACCATAACCGTCAGATGGTAGCTTTGATATTCATCCAACAAATGTCTGGAAATGTATTTTAGATCGGTGGCTGCTTCTTTCATTCTCAGTTTGGTTTTCAGTAAAATTTCTGCTGAACATTTTGAAAATGTATGCCAAGTCTCAGGGTTATTTAAAAAAAAAACAGTACTAGAAGTTCTCACCCATCTTCAAGTTGTACTTAAACAGTGCTCTTTTTTTATTGCTTCACAAAGGGGAGAATAAATATAGCCTTTTTGTTATACATAGGAGCATTTAAAAAAAAAACCCAAGCAAATAATAAGCCTGGTTATTAAAAAACAAAACAAAACTTAACTCCAAGTTGGACCATATTCTTTTGTTCAAGGTTGCCCATTCTCTCCCCACCTGATTTGTTTTATGGATCATGCTAGCTACTGCTTGTTACAACATCACACCCAGCAACCTCTGGATGCTCTAAACCAGCCTTCTGTAGCTTGATGTCCTCCAGAAATTGTAGTCCCAGCACAGCTGGAAGGAATAATATTAGGGAATAATATTAATATAATATTAGACATGCTGAAAGATGTCTGTTCAACTCCAGATTATCAAAGGAGACCCTGACTGCCCTGACATTTGCAATTCTGGCACCAAAGCAAGAGTAGAGAAGTGGTGCCCATTGCATTCTTCCACAATATCTTTGTCACTCCTGGTGACTATGTGGATACATGTAATTTTCTTGGCAAACATTTGGAAGTGCTTTCCCATTGCCTTCTAGTATTATTTTTTTTCAACTTTCCAACTTATGAACTTCCTAATTAATTTACTAATCAGTTCCAATCTTACTTAGGTTCTGACAAAATTGGCTGGTACTGCCATCTGTTGACACACAGAGGTATACACACACACATACACACAAAGACCCAGCTTTTCTAATGAAAGAGATGAAATGTGACAAGAATGAAGAATTGTTAATCAAGATGCTTAAGAGATCAATAGCGGGTCATCTACAGCCATCCCTTGAAGGCTGCAAGAATAAATGGGTGACTGGCCATCTAACACCACAGATGAAATGACCCAATTGTTTGACATACCTATGAAGCACAGTATTTTTCAGTGGTCTTGTCACAAGTTCAATTCTTGTTCATCCAGAATCAAATTTAGACCAATGAAAAAAAATGTGCATGCTCAAAACTGGTTCTAGGTTTGAGGGGGTCCCTGGGAAAGTGGCTTCCCATAGCGCTCTCCTCCTCCATTCATATCCTTCTGGTGAGCTTTCTTGAGAGCCGTAGCAGATAAACTGACAGGCATTTAAGAGTAGCCTGAAAGTAAATTAAGAGTACATTTCCTGCAGTGGCTAACATTGCATCGTACCAGGATACTGTAAGAGATTAAAATGATTGACTCTAGTCTAGACCAAGGTGATTGGAATGCAAATAAACAGGAGCTTGATGTCCTCCAGAAACTATTACTGATATTCTTCCAGAAACTGGAAGCCTCCATAGTCAGATTTACCAAGGCATTGGCTGACACCCATAAATTCTGGATGTGGCACATAGTCTTCCTAGATGGTCCTCAATGCCCAAACTGACCATGCTATTGACATTCTATCTATGTCCCATCTATTCCTGAAAGCCCTGTTTAAATGCGCCCAGACCACTATACTGTAAGTTCATGCAAAAACTTGCAACTTTTGTCTGGGCATACCTGTGATCCTAAAGGTTTTTTTTTTTTTTAATTTGGCTTGATCTGGTGCTAGATGAAGAAATCTTCTTCGTAGCTAAGGAAGCCAGAAGATCCTGTTTGAGGAAGAAACATGCATAAAACAAAATGGGTGAACAGGGGACAAGAGACAGACTTTTCCTGCACCAGTGGAGTCATTTCAGGGTAACGTGTTTTAATTGCCATCTCCTTCCTTCCTTCCTTTCCTTTCCTTTGTTTGTTTTTCAGTCTGCTGGAAATGCAGAGATTAATCATGTAAAGGGAAATACAAGCTTCTATGAAGGCCAGAATGATAATATTCTGATAGAGAAACCAATGTCAGGAATCCTGGACCTTGGGTGTAATCTCAACATTGTGTCATCTGTACCTTATTTGCAGAATCCCATGTACAGATAAATAGATAAAATAAATAGATAAAATGGGGGATTTGTTTTTGTTTTAAGATGGACTTTATTTCCAGTGATTTTCCTGCTGGACAGAGATGCTGGAGAATTTGATTTGATCCTCATTAAGAAACCAGATGGACTTCTTTCCATTCTTCCAACTCTTTCTACCCCATCCATAGTTTTAAAAATCTATAAAATAGGTGTCTTCCTCTCATGATCTCTCTCCAGCAGCGCTTAAAGAAATATCTCCTTTTACTGTATCTAGAGTTTAGAAGCTACAGTTGGTAGAAACTGAAGGTTTGGGACCAAGATAGTTTGTTTTTGGTTCCCACTCTCCTTCCATGGAATTCTTAACCACTTGAGACACACCTAGCTTGAAGTCTGCATTTCCAGGAATAAGGTGAATATGCATTTTCCCAAGCTGATGCTTGTTTTATTTCACTGATTTTCTAATTGGTTCTCATCCTTCCAATTAATGATTATTTTAAATGTGCACTTCATATTAAAACAAAAGCAAAAATAGTCTTGTAAAACCCTTCAATTCTAAATTCAGATTGAGTCCTCAATTTATATCCATATACTTGTTTATATTATTTCCAAACAGATTCTGTTCATCTATACCAGTGTTTCCCAAACTTTTTCCTTCATTACCCAAAACCCTAACTTCGAATGGTCATTGAACAAATGGTTGTAACTCGAGGACTACCTGTATTATAAAAACAATATCATTGAATATTCTTTATATCATTTCAATAAATTGTTGTGTGTAATTTCATTGATTTTCGTCTTAATAGGAATACTTTGGGAGATTTTCAAATATATTTTAGTACACGTGGCAATCGTTTTAAGTCTATTTAAATGTTCCTGTTGTGATTGGGTAATGGGTTTGTGTCCCATTACCCAAAGAAAAACCACTTTTACCCAATTTTGGGTAATTTACCCAGGTTTGGGAAGCACTGATCGGTTTGTGTCCCATTACCCAAAGAAAAACCACTTTTACCCAATTTTGGGTAATTTACCCAGGTTTGGGAAGCACTGATCGGTTTGTGTCCCATTACCCAAAGAAAAACCACTTTTACCCAATTTTGGGTAATTTACCCAGGTTTGGGAAGCACTGATCTATACAAATGTCTACCTGGGCAGAAATACCAAGTAGAGGTCTGGGTTATTCTGGTTCAAAGGTATGTTTGAAAAATGCATAGTTTTAAGTGTAGAATACATTTTTAAT